CGTTTTGCATGTAGGACTTAAACGCTCGAGCACACAACTTATTTTTGTGATAAGTGTATGATGGGGCGTTTCCAATCTTTAAACAACTCTTTCTGGCCCTCAAATATATGAGTTTGCAATATATTTTATTTGAATGAGAATAAAGCTTGAAATCTGATTTCGATGCACATAACTCAGCAATCGATTTTCCATTTTAAGTTTGTTGGTCAGCCTGTAAAAGCAAGAAGAGCTTTTCTTGATCCTAACATTATATTATTTATTAATTTCTTCTTTCTTTCATTTCTGGCAATTGACGTGTAAGCATTTGCAATTTGCATTTTGCAACGCAGACACATGAGAATGGCCTCTCCCTTTCCCCTGGTAAAATAATGCGACGACTTTCTTCGCAACCCTGTGAGAAGGTTTTGCTTACATGTCAGGAGCTCGATACACAAACCCTTGGAAAATCTGCAAGTCAAAGCCGTACCTCCAACGTCTTGAACCATCCTCAAACCCACAAATGCATGGAAATTCAAAACCTTCGCCTGCTGCTCCGCTTCACATTTTCTCTTGGGATCGGCGAACGATTACTTTGAGAAGAAGTAAGGTCGGGGTATGTAGATTGATAAAAAGGGCTGCTATAGAATTGGAAGATGCATGTTCTCCTGCTGCGAATAGAGTGGCTGTTTTTTCGTAACACACCATCCTTCAACAAGCTAAACAAATCTGTTACACATTTATTGCCACTTCAAAGAGTCTTTATATTGTCTGATGGTTCCTCAGAATTTCCTCCTATTGGCACTCTACGTACTGCAGAGATATTTTCGATATAGGACCTCCGGATCGCTCGATGTCACAGTTGGGGTTAGGTTGTCGCCGTGTTGTTATCACACTTCTGTATCATCCTTCTAAAGCATTGGATTATTGTTTGTTCAACTCTGCAACTCGTTTAGTTTATTCTTCCCTCTTGGCCATCTGGCACATAACAGAATCACTACCTATACCAGCTACGATACGGTTCTACTACATCAGCCATTCTGAAAGACCATTTGGAAGTAAATCTTCGCAGAGCAAAACGAATCGAGTCCTTATCACCTTGTGCCAATGACTGTTTTTAATCGGATACTACACTTCAAGTCTCATTGGTGCATTGTTGTTCCTGCAAATTTTATTGTTCTCCTCAGTCATTTTGGTTAACTACTCTGAAATTAGACAAGTCGAAGGGTCTTTGTTGTACAGTAAGGGTACTTATGAGTTAATTTAAGAACATAACAGTGAGTGTGCGTCCTATCAAAGGAATTCAACACTAGCAGGCGGGAAAATCGATTTGGTTTAATCGCAGCGCTTAAAAATGAGCGAGTCGGACTTTTTCAACAAGTGGAATAAGACCCGCACCCCCCCATCTTTCTCATCTATGCTCGTTATGAAGTAAATACCAACAAATAAATCCTGCGACTAATAGTGCGAATTGTTCATAATAGTATCGACTTCGTGCCTAGTGTTGACATCATTCCGTTGGTGCATGATACATCTTAGGTACAAGGCTTGACGAGTTCGCCAAATGATCGCACAAATAACAATTGCTCAATAGTTCGTGTATGTCATAACCAAAACCAAGTATACTTCCACAGTCACACTTATAGAATAAGGAATCCAGATTGTTCCCCGTTTTGACGTGCGCAATTCATCTATTCGTCGAAGTACAAACCTTTTAAACAATCTTTTTCATCACATCTCTAATGAGAATCGTAAGAATTCGCTTACTCTGGTAGTTCATAGATAGTCTGGATCTAATAACTACTGTATATTATTTAACAACCGAGCGTGTGAGAGGCAGCCATTTTATGAAATACAAGACAACGCTTGAGAGTCTCACTGCGATCTCTTCTATTCTAAAACTCGCAAGAAGACTGGGATGGGTCCAGTTAGAACATAATATATGTCACATGATATCTTGTGAGACTCGTATGGTGCATAGGCGAGATCACGCGATTAGTGGGAATCTTTTTCTAGTATCAGTTTTTCAACTCGAATATTCTTCGATGACTTGCTCATGTGGCATCCACAGCTAGTACTCCTTTCTCTGTGACTGGCTTTGGCTGGTGCTTCGTAACTTCCTGCAAATTTCTGGGTTCTTGACTTGAAAAAAAATGAGAAAATTCTGTATGGTGCCTAACTTTTTCCCACTGGACAGATAACTCTGAACCCCCTTCTGTCCTGTTTTTTCCCTGTTTTTATACTCCCCCGGTGTTAAGATGGAGCAGCCAGAAACAAGGTGATCAATTGTTTCAATTCTTTCATCGCAAAATCTACATTTTGGGTCAGCCCCATTGTGTAAGATATTGGCTTGATAATTTCTAGTGAACAAACGTTGATCTTGTGCAGCAAGAATGAAGTCCTCTGTTTTCGCTTTTAGTCCGGAGCTACGTAGCCACTGATGGGTTGCATGTGTATCTACATCAGCATTATTGGCTCGAGCAGCAAACTGTCCATGGAGAGGTTTCTCTTGCCAGCGAGATTCAAGTTGTTTTAAACCTTCATGTTTCGCTTTATTCTTTGATTTGCGAGCCATCTCAGTTGGCGATAATAAGTTGTCTACTTCTAGTTCAAGGTCAAGTTCCCGAGAGTATTTGTCAGATTCCTTTGTAACAGAGTGTAACCTTTTGGAGTTTTCATGCCTGTTTACCAACTGGAGCATCCAATCTTCTGTATTATCAAGGTAATTGAAGAGGCCTATTGTTGACGTTTTGTAAGAAAGTTCCATTTGTATCATTCCTCTTCCTCCCTTGTTGCGAGGAAGGTAGAGATGGTCAACATCAGATGTTGGATGGAGCATTCTGTTACAGGTAAACAATTTTCTGATTTTGCTGTCTATTTTCTTGATTTCACTTAAGTTCCAATTCATGATATTAAAACTGTAAGTTACTACTGATAACGCTAAGGTGTTTATAGCGGTTATTCTGTTTTTAGAATTTAGCTCAGTTTTCAAGATAGATCTGACTCTGCGCAGACATTCTTTCTTAATTTTCTCTTTCATCTTTGCATGTTGTATCCCATCACCCTCATTAACTCCTAAGTATTTATATGCACCTTCTTGATCAAGCTCTTTCATGACAGAGTCATCATCAAGTACAACGTTCTTTGTTTGTTCCAGTTTCCCTTTTTTAAATATGGGTTTGGCACATTTGCTCAGCCCAAACTCCATTCCAATGTCATCACTGAATGCCTTCACTGTTTTCAGCAGTCCCTCCAGTTCGTTATCATTAAAGGCATAGAGTTTTAGATCATCCATGGAGAACAGATGATTTATTCTGCGTGCAAAGATTTTATATCCATATCCTGTTTGGTTAAGGAGTTTAGAAAGAGGCATAAGTGCCATGCAAAATAACAGGGGTGCCAGAAAGTCACCCTGAAAGATGCCACATTTAATTTTCATGCCAGGGGAGGACAAGATACCATTAGAGTGGGATAAGAAAAGGTTAGTTTGCCACATATTCATAGATGATGTGAGAAAATTTATAAGGGTAGGTGAAATTTTAAAAAGTTGTAAGCAACGTAGGATCCAAGAGTGTGGTACGCTGTTGAAAGCCTTTTTATAGTCGATCCAGGCTGTGCTCAAATTATGATGCTTTGATTTAGCATTTTCCAGTAGAATTTTGTTTATCAGTAGTTGGTCTTTACAGCCATATGAGCCCTTTTTGCACCCTTTTTGTTCAATTGGGAACATGTCGTGTTCCTCCAGGTGTGTATAGGTCCTTTCCGAGAGGACAGAAGTTAGTAGTTTGTATGATGTGAATAAACATGTGATTGGCCTGTAGTTTTCAGGATCTTCAGTCTCAGCAGTCTTAGCAAGTAGGTACGTTGTGCCTTGGCAAAACCAAGTTGGAGTGAGGTTAGGCTCATTAATTAATTTATTCAGATTTGATGCTAGTTTAGAATGAACAGATTGCAATGTATCTAGCCAGAAATTAGGAACCTGGTCTAGACCTGGTGATTTCCATTTATGAGCTTTTCTTAGGGCCTTTGTTATCTCTTCAATAATAATATCACTCCATTCTTGTTCAGGAATATATACTATCTCCTTTTCTAGATCTTCAATCCATTTAGCGTTCTCATTGTGCCCTGTATTATTACCCCAAATGTTGTTCCAAAAGTCTTTCACTTGGTCTTCCATTGGTATTTCTTTCACTTCAATGTTCGTTTAACCAATTTCTCTGTAGAACTTTTTGGCATCCGTCTCAAAGATCTTGTTTTGCCAGTAGAAGTCATTGCGTTTAGAAAATCGGCGTAATCTTTGTGCTTTCACTTGCAGCTTTTGCTTAAGTTTCTTTTAATGATGGGTATTTGTTCTTTATTTTCAATATGATATTTTCTAATTACTTGTGTGGATTTTCTAGATTTCGATTTTCCATTTTATTATCATTTTTGTTACTATTATTATTATTATTATTATTATTATGCTGATTTACACAGTTCTGATGTTATAACTGGCTTGTTATTGATGTTTCTTGAAATCGGATCAATACGATCTTAGATCTCGAGAACTTTCTCAACACTCTTGCAGTTCTTAAAAGTACAGATTTTTGTATTAGTTTAATCTGTGTCTTGACTCCAATTTCCTTGATGTAGTTGCTCAAATTTTGTGTTAATGTTCCAAGGGCTCCCAAGACAATAGGGATAACTTTTGCTTTCACTTTCCATAATCTTTCCACTTCTCTTTTTAATTCGTCGTACTTTTCGTGTTTTCTGAATAATATCTATCCCAATCTTTACTCCCAATTTTTCAATATGCCTTTGAAACTTGTCCGAGATAACTCCTAATGCTCCAATCACTACAGGTAATACTGTAGCCGTTCTCATTTGCCATACATGTCCTATCTCCTCCCTCAAATACTGGTACTTTTGAATTTTTTCAAGTTTTTTCTTTTTAACTCGTTAATCTCCTGGTACAGCTAGGTCCATTGTTTTGACTACTTTGTTATTTTTATCTACTAACACAATGTCCGGTCGTCTTGCCTCAATCATTCTATCACACTGGATCGTAAAATACCATAAGAGCTTGTAATTCTCATTTTCAATAATTGCTTCAGGTTGCTGATTATACCACCTATCTGCTCTTATGAATCCCCCTTTGCTACAGAATTGCCAGTGAACATATCGTGCTACACTATCATGTGTCTTTTTATACTCCCTTTGTGCCAATTTGCTACGCTCACTAACTAAATGACTAATAGTTTCCGCTTTCTCTCTGCACATTCCACACATAGGAGAACTCTTATCAATATGGAACTTTGTATAATTTGTTCTTAAAGCTTATTCTTGAGCACTGCAAATCAATGCCTCTGTACATCCCTTCATATCTCCCTTTGCAATCCATTGCCATGACCTTTCCCAATCCACACCGGCAACATTAACTATGCCTGTTTACTCGACCTTTCTCAAAAGTGCTACTATTCAATATGTACCAACTCTGTCACACCTTTGATAATGGTATCATGCAAATCACAAAGATCAGTGGGGAAAGGCTGTCTCCCTGAAAAATTACCTCTTTATATATTTACATTTCCGAGTGACGTACCGCTAGAGGTTGATTCAGTTTGTCAATTAAAGTGCATATCACCTCAGCGAGATTATAAAGTTAATTTGTTGTATTCGATATGGAAAACATAGATTTCAATTTTTTTTGCGTTTCGGCCAAACATTTTACAGTAATTAAACCATTAAATCGGACCGATCTATTCAATTTTCCCGCCATTCGTTTTCAAGACCGGGCATCTTCGAAAGCCTGGTGACTAGAGCATTGTTTTACACGAATACGTCATTTAAGGAACCAATCGCGACAAAATGCCGGACAGGTGTGTTGTTTATGGGTGCGATAGTGTACCAGATATCTCTAAAGGTATATCTGCTCATCGAATACCATTCTGGAACAATCAGAATCCTGAAGCAAAAAGATGTCGAAAGGTCTGGGTGGATTTTATTCGTACCAAGCGTGCAAAATTCATCCCTGCTGCTAACTCGGCTGTTTGCTCGTTTCATTTCAAACCAGATGATTTTGAACATAGATTTTCTTTTCTTCTGGGTCTGGAAAAAGTTCAGCAAACTAGACTGAAACGCAATAAAATTGGCGTACTTTGTTTCCCTACAATCTTCAGGAATGTCGAAGAAACGACAACAAGACCCGAACATCGCAAGGTAAGAAATATCTTACATAGATATTTATTCCACCAATTTGATGCTGGTATTCTCATTATAGTATGATAAAATTCTAAAACAACTACCCTGCCATAAATCCTCGAAATGGCCCACCTTTTCTAAGCCCCCTTGAGTAAGCCCCCACCCTTGGCAAATTCATGATCGGAGTCTATGATAATGACATACTCAACTATAAAAAATATTAAATTAAAGAGGCACTTTCACAATGTTTCCTTGTCAATGTCGTCTTGCAAAATTTTTCGTTTCTCAAGGTGAGCACGAAAAAAGTAAATTCTTTAGAAAAATGCTATTTCCATTGGTGACTTCCAGGTAGTTTTCTATAATCCACTCCTGCCAATACGCCCCCCCCCCCCCCTCCAGAAACGTATCCAATTAGCAAGTCCAAGGAAGGGCTGGCAAGGTGAGGGGTGTGAAGGGTAACACCCCCTTGGGAAAAATAATGTTAAAAGAGCAGCAATTTAGACATGGGACATGGAAACCCCCCTTTTAGAACAATATCTAAAATCTGGCCTAGTCCTGGAGAGGGGGGGGGAGGATTTACAGTTAGTCAGATCTCACTACCAATTTTAACTTTGTCATTTACAGCAACTAAAAGATGCTCTACAAAGTCAAACTGCTTCAGACCTTAAATCGGAACCAGAGCAAGATAATACCAGTCCTGATGACAGTGTTGCTGCCCAAAGTTCAAATTGTTTTGATACAGTTGTAGCTGCAAATTTATCTGAGGAACAGGTCAGCTGAATTTTTTCTATACTGCATTGAAATTACTAGGTAACACTGAACTCCTGCTTGTGTGAACAGGCAAATATATATATATATTATATATGCTATATTTGTTTCCATTTCCTAAAATGAATATTTTTTATGGTTTTTTTGAAGAAAAACGAAACAACACAAACAGAAACACAACCTTGTTATGAATGTGGGACACAGACATATTACCAATGCCAGAGATGCAAACATCTAAGCAACTGGAAAAGAATTTATAAAAATCGATGGGCTGGTTCTAAGCAAAAAATCAGTCATATTAGGACAAAATTCAATGCAGCACAAAGAGAGATTTCAAGTAAGTCAAACAGGAAAAGTCTTATCAGGAGCATTTTAAAGTTCTTATTGTTATTCTACCAAGGCCCATTCTCTCCACCAATGTACATAAGGTATATTCAATGCAGAAGACTTGTCTAATCAACTGTACTTTGGAGATAATACAGTGTGGTTCAGTCTTAATCAATTTATTCTTAAAAAAATATTTCTTTTTTAACTCTGAGTTCCAAATTTTTTCACTTGAATTTTTAATTGAGAATCAAAACATATTTTTTAATATTAGGAATGAAACAACAAATGGCAGACATGGAAAATGAAATTGAAATTGATGATTACGAAGCAATGGATGTTGGATATAACGATGACAGAAATGAAGATGCTAGTAGTGGGTCGAATTCAGAGGATGATGTTGTTGATGATGAGATGACAGCTGCTGACGACTTATATGAGAGTGGTGATGAAAGCGATGAAGACCAGGAACCTGTAGATAAAAACATGTAAGCCGAATGTGGATTGAATGATTATTGCAACTTTACCTTAATCATCAATCATGATAATAATAATCATTAACAATGTATAAAACTTCAAGTTCCTGGTTTTCTTACAAATTCCCTTATAGACAAGAAGACAGATTGCGGACCGAACCAAAATTCCTTGTGTTTCTTTCAAAATTGCTACTGTTGTTCACCTTTTGCCCAATCTGCAAAGCTGACAACCCATTAGTTCAGACAAAGACTGTTGCCATAATGGTCCAGGTGATACTGACTTGTGCTAATGAGAAGTGCAGCCAAAAGGACAATGTATGGTATAGCCAGCCATGGATGCCAGGGTCTAGAATCGCTGCTGGGAACTTCCTCCTCAGTTTTTCGACATTAGTTTCTGGTGGATGTGCATCAAAGATTTTCCAGATTTTTAAAAACATGGGCCTGTGTTGCATATCACTTAAGACTTTTTTCAAACATCAAAAGGTAATTGATATGTTGGACAACTGATACCTTATTGGCATATCTACAATAAATTACTTAATACATAAAGTAACTTTTTGTTTTTTTCTAATTTGGCTATTTTTTCTTATTTTTTCTTATTCCCTGACAAAATCAAGAATTTTTGTAATATTTTTTATAAAAGTTCTTGTAAGAAGTAGAATTTATCACATCACCTATTCCTGGAATCAGTGTAGAATATTTTCCTGATCTAAATAAACTTGATTTTTTTTAAGTGGTATGTATAATTCAGAAAATTCCTTAATATTATTGATATTGATTTTCTTCCTTAGGAGACTTTGTTTCCAGCCATCTATTTGTACTGGCAAAAATACCAGAAGGCAATACTTTCATCGTTACGTGCAACAGAGGACAAGGGACTGGTGATAGCTGGTGATGGTCGTCATGACAGTATGGGCCACTCAGCTAAATATGGCACTTACACAATTTTTTGTTGTAACAATGACAAGATAATAGACTTTTCACTTGTTCAGGTAATACTTTGTTTAGGTAATACTCAAATATATTCTGATACAGTCACACAAATTAATTTTTTTGTAATTTTACAATGTCCATACTTTATTATTTTTACTATCCAAAAATCTAGCCTGGCAGCGTTTAAAGGTGTCTGCAACAAAACCTGGACAATTTTCTCTCTTGACTTGATTATAAGACAGACAGCTTATCAATAATGTACTATTCCCTTCTTGAGCATACATTATATGAAAAAGTAATTTATGCCAAGTTTTCTTTTCCAGAAAATGAAGTCAGTAGCAGTCAAGCTATGGAATATGCTGGTTTTAAAAATTCCATTGCCCATTTGAAAAGTGAAAATCTGCAGTTGTCGACATTTGTATCTGACCGACATACAACAATTGCAAAACATATGCTGGAACAGCTGCCAGATATAACCCACTACTTTGACCTATGGCATTTGAAAAAAAGTAAGTTTAAGCATATAAGAATATGGAGCTAAGTGGGTCTAACTCTTAAGCTAACAGAGACAAAAGGTTATGACTTTTATTTCATTTTTGTAGAGATCCACAAAGAACTTACAAACTTGGCCAAACAAAATGACTGCAAATCGCTTGAGCCATGGGTACAGCCATGTGTTAACCACCTATTTTGGAGTGCCACATCAACATTCGATGGGAATGGAAATGTCATTTGGGCCAAATTCAAATCATTTTTGAGTCACGTGATTGACAAGCATGACAATCTGGATGATCCCCTATTCAACCGATGCGAACATGCAGAAATTAATGACCGTTTCTGGTTAAAAAAAGTGGGTTAACCTTCTTAAAGGTCATGATGATATTCTTTAATTGTAGTAAATAAATGCTTAACAGAAAATTACAAAGCTGAATCCTGAAGACTCTTAACATTCAATTCTGTAATAATTACAGTGCTGCAAAGATAACAGATGTGACTGCTCAACTGACTTCAAAAAGATAACTGCTGCAATGGTTATGAAACAAAGCCTTTTTTTTATATTACCTCATGTAAGCATGCTACAGATTTCCTTGTATCGGTTTCTAGAATCAACAGCCTATGAGAAATTGGAGGCATGTCTTACGAACAAGAGGCTGGTAAATGGGATAAAAAAGGCATCTCCACTTGATCAAACTAGTTGTCTCGAAGGATTCCATTCACTTGTGAATTATTTTGCACTAAAGATGGTTGCCTTTTCACACACTGGAATGATGATACGGTACTGTATATTTTCCAAATTTATCAAAAGTGGGAATCAATTTTGTATGATGTATTTCTACTTTGTATATACAGTTTCTGCTCAGATACTAAGTGAAATTTATTTGCTAACAGACATATTCTTGCATCTATCCATTTCAACTGTAACCTGAGACGCGAGAGTAAAACAACCTCGGATGGTGAAAAACAAGTGGCTGTGTCCTGGCCTAAATTCAAAACTGGACAAGCAACTGTGCGCGATGTAAGAGTCAAACAGGATTTAGGTAATGCACTTTGTATAACTTCAGTTTCATTCATACAGTACTTCCCTTATTTCAAGAAAGAATTATGTAAATAAATATTTTGATTCTCTCAAAAATGCTATTTCGATATAAAATTGCAATTTTCTTTTATTAAGGGTATGTCAGTGAAATTTTCATCTCAATAATGAGGACAAGTTCAGAGACCTTAAAAGAGGTAGAAGACGAATTGAAGCTGGCATGCCCTGAACCAATGAACCGGATGCTGGATAGGCAGACAAGGAAAGATGCCCTTGCCAAGAAAGAGTCTCGCGATAAAGCAACATCCATCAATGTTCCAGCCACAGGTGCGTTGGCAAGAAAGAAAATCCAAAATATAATTTATTTACCATTTGTCAAATACTTGATATGATATGAATATATGATAATTGATATGAATATATATTTAACATCCTGAAATCAAAGCACCTGTCTTTTATTTTTATTGTCTAATTTTATTTTTATTATCTAAACTTTTTCATATTTACAGATGTTTACAAAACCAGGGCAACACCCAATATTCTCTTATTATATCAATACTGTAAATTTTCAATTTGAATTGCATAAAATATTAACTGACAATTAGCAAAAAAGTGTTAAATGATAAGCCACCTTGGAGACCACAGCTAGTATTACGTTATATTTCCAAAAATTTTCTTCAGGTGAAGTAACTGACATTGATGTTATAAAGAAGAAACCACACTGTCGTAGATGCAACCAACTAATGAAAGGCCATAAATATACAGATTGCCCAAATTTTGACAATGAAAAGGAATGAACCAACTACTTTGATTCACAGTAAGAAACAAGATCAGTGTTTTGTATAAATGCAGTTATTCACTCATTTACATCATCCACATACCCTGTAAATATGTCATTTTCTTTAAATTTGTTACGGATAGCATGATATGCACATGCAGGCAAAGGTACTCTTCTTTTCCCAATGGTTCCATAGACCAGGCTTGTAAACTCTCTATACGAGACACTCCTAAGAAATTTCTCCTCAGGAACAGATCCAGTATGCCTATATCTCTGTCCTTTTCTTGTCTTATATTTTGTAGATGCAAGACGCAATGACCATGTTTCAAGACATACTGGCCTGAATCCTGGATGTTGGGTCATACAAGATGGTACACAACCAAGTTCTCTGAACACCAACTCATCATTTATTGCCTCAACACAAAGATCAATTTC